AGTTAGCACTAATTATACAACAATGTAGGAGTAATTCGAAATCACATATAATTAAGTAATTAATTGAAACAATCGAATGTTATCACCGATATAAGAAAGTATTAGTTATCATTTTCATTCAATTAAAGTATGTTAACAATAAATTAATGAAAAAGCAATTTAAGTGATTTACAGAACTAATAAAATTTAAAATATACACAGCAATAATCGAGGAGAAATGTTAACATTTATTTTTGTTAATTAGTTTAATTATTGTTAACAAGTGAATGAAGAAATTGAATTTAACATTCAAACAAACGAAGCAATTAAAAATATGCGAATGATGAAGTTAAAACATTATCTTTTACTAATCATAATCAATTGATATTAACATGAACTCATTCATCGTTATCATAAAATGCTATAAAATATAATATCACTCAACAAAATTTCAACAAATAAAATTTCAACCATTTCCGACATTTCTAATCCAACAATTTTTACTAACAATTGATTTTAAAAAAAGAAAAAGGAAAAATACGAAACTATTCTATTTTCATTAATAATACATAAATGGAAAAGGAAATCGATGAATGCAGAAAATTTTCAACAAATATAATATTATCAATGAAAATTATTGCAACAATAAAGGTAATTGCTGTAGAATTGTTGGAAGAATGAATGAAAAATTTTTAAGTTAAATTTGTTCAATTATCGCCGTGTAGTTTCTATAACATTTTAATATTTAGCAAATTTCATTTTTCTGTTATTATTTTGCTCGACAAATAATAATATTATTTGCAATTTTGATAATTTTATATGTATTATAAAATATTTTATCCAATTATTGGTAATTATTTGATAATTATTGATAATCATCGATCAACAAATGATACTTATAAAAAAGAAGTTTTTTTCTTTTTTTTAAAATTATTTTATGAAATATTTTTAATCATTGGTAATTTATCACGAAATGATACTATTTAAATGATATCAAATTGCTAACGAACGAATAATATAATATGATTTGCAATTTTTTGTAAATTTTTCATTATCAATTTTCTATTACTGTATATCATTTTCTATTACTGTATATTGAATGTTTATTAAGTACTGAGATATTTCCTTTCTTTCTTTCGTCTATTTTTTTGCACATTTTCTATCATTAAAAATTGAAAATTAGTTTGATTAATTTTAATTTTTATTTTCAACTGCAATTAATTTACCATTTCAAAACTTCACAATTATATAATAACGAAGTTTGTTTGCATTGAAGTGAAAATTTTTGTTTTATATGATTAAATACCGTATATTTTTTGATGCAATCCGTGAATTTCACGAAATTTCATTACTGTCAAAATTTCAGTCATAATTAACAAATTTAAAAAAGTTTGAATAAATTAAAAAAGTGCAAAGTGAGTAAATGCACAACAATGAAATTTGCATGCACAAATATATTTTAAAAGAAATTTGAAAGGCTCCATTTTAGCAGTCTATATATTCCATTACTGTGCATACAAATGTATAATGTATCCTAATTAATGATACTGTATATATATATATGCACCTTAACTAGTGATGCTGTATATATGTGTACCTTAATGATACTATATATACATATGCACCTTAATTAGTATTACTGTATAAATATATGCGCCTTAATTGATACTGTATATATGTCTTAATGATATTGTATATACATATGCACCTTAATGATACTGTATATATATACCTTAATTAATGATACCGTATATATGTACCATAATTAATGATTAAATTATAAATGTGCTCCAAAAATTTGTTCCTTTAATATTTTTTCTATCAAAAATATCTTGCAAAAGGTGCACGCATTATTAGTGCATAATAAAATTATATTCTAAAATTATAGAAAATAATAAAATATAATTCCTTTTTTGTCTTTTATTGAATTAAAAAATTGTTGTAATTTTATAGCTTTCTAAAGTGCTATAATTTCTTGCATTTGTCGTAAAATATATTTATCTAAATGTATCATTATTTTATAATTAAAAAAATGAAACAAAAAAATTGTAATTTTTTGTTGGAATATTTTTCTTTCCACAAATAATAACTTACAATCAAAAACAAATAAGTAAACAATTAAAGATAAACAAATACAACAAGAAACGGATGACTAATAAATTAACAAACAATCATCGGATAACTAATAAACAATTATAGGATAAACAAATAAAGGAACAAAATAAGTGATTTCTTTATAAAGCAGAAAAGTCCATTTTTACAAAAAATATATTCCACAATTAACACAAAATAAATAAACAGGTAAATGAAAGATAAACAAACAAATCTGTTTTAATAAATTCATTGTCATTATTTTTTTCATTCCTTAATTTTAATGTAACAAATTATATTAATACGAAAATGCCATGCAAGCTTGCATGAAATGTTTTTAATAAATTATAGGAAATGTATGCTAAAATCATTCAGTGATACTTGACAGCCTAAAAGACCGTTAAAATCTGTTCATTAAATTTTATCAAAAAATATCTTTCATTTAATTTTTTGCATTCATCAAATTAACAATTTTAATAAAACAAAATGTTAAAAAAAATTTTCCCCGAAAATTTCCAATTATATAAATATTTTCAACAATTGAATTTACAACAATTAAAGAAGAAGAAAATGAAGAGAAAGCTTTTTCTCTCTCTCTCTCTCTCTCTTTTTTTAATTCATTTTAAATTTACAGTATTTTGTATTTATATTAATAAATATTTGATTGCTAATTGTTCAAGTGATAAGGGAAGAGAGAAGAAGAATTATTTTATCATTTTTATCATTCTTCATTTATCATTATTTTTTTTCCTTCATTTTAATTTCCTGCCAATGTAATCATTCACTATTATTTATTTGTTAAGCAATAAACAATTTCCAATTATCAACAAAAATATCCCTTTTTCTTTTCTCACTTCTCTTTCTTACTCTTTTCCTTTCAAATTATTCTTCTAATTGAAATTGAATTAAATCCAATTATATCACTAATTCTAATAAAACACTTTCACAATGATGTATGTGTAAGTATCTTTCCCTTTCTTATAATGAAACAAAAATTTGAAATTACATAGTATTTACAACCTGTTGTAATGTTCAGGTATGCATTATTAGTATTCAGATATGCATTATTAGTATATACATATTCAGGTATGCATTATTAGTATTTACATATTCAGGTATGCATTATTAGTATTTGCATATTCAAGTACGAATTTTTGTTATTATTTGCATATGCATTTTTATTATTATTTGAAATTACATATATTTATAACCTGTTGTAATATTCAGGTATGCATTTAGCATATACATATTCAGGTATGCATTATTAGTATTTATATATTCAGGTATACATTATTAGTATTTATATATTCAGGTATGAATTTTTGTTATTATTTGTATATGCATTATTATTATTATTATTATTTGAGATTACATAGTATTTATAACCTACTGTAATATTCAGGTATGCATTATTAGTAAATCGATTGTTTCATAATTTTAATCAAAAATTTTCCTTTTTAATAGCAAAATATAATTTAGCAAAAAAGAAAAAAAAGGAAAAGTTTTTCTTTTATTTTTAAATCTCTTCAAAGTTAATTATATTTTATTTTTTTTCATTGCAATATCATTTCTTATCACAAAAATTTATCAATGAAATTGTTCAATACTAATTTATTTTTCTTATGCTGTCGGAAATTTTTCAATTTTCGGCTATAAATCTTTTATTTTTTTTCCGATTCTCTCTTTCATTTATAAAACATTATAAAATTGACAAAAATACGCTGTCATTATCCGTTTTTTAATTTATATCTGATAAATTGTTATTTTTCATTTTCCATTTTGCATAGTAAATGATAAGTTTTTTAACGATGATAAGTTTGATAAAAATAAGAATAGAAATTTGGTTCGATTAAATAATATTATTTAATGTTGTTAAAGTTTTATTATTTTATGCTGATTTATGTTATTAAAATGATTCAATTATTTTTGTAATACATTCCTACAATAACATATTTGCAATCATTTTGTTGCTTTTTCAATTTTCTAGTAAGGAAGAATTTCTTATTAAATTTTAATTGAACGTTAAATTGTTAAGTTGAAAAATAAAGGTAACTATCCGTTTCAAATAGGTAAACTTATTACCGTTTCAAAATTGCTTATTTTTGTAATTAATATCATTTTCAAATTTATTTTACAAAAACAATCATAATAAAATTTATACCTATAAAAAGAAGTTAAAATTTCAACATTTTATAGCGTAAAAAAAAAAAGTTTCGGAAAGTTTGATATTCAAATAAGAAAAAGATAAGAGTGATAGGAATAATAAAAATTATGAAAATGATAAGAAATATCAAGAAAGAAAGAAATCAATCGAATTTTTACTACAAACTTGTTAATTGAAACTATGCTATTATTAAGCTGTAAATAGTATTGCTCGAATCAGATTATCATCTTGTAAGAAATTATTAATTATTAATTAGTAGTATATTTTAAAAACAAAAAACAAAAATTCTTTCTTCCTGCTTATATTTTCACATTCCTGACAAGATGATAATTTGATTCGGTGTTTTTTCTTTTTTCAATTCAAAATTTAATTATCAATTCTTCCATTTTATTTACAAATTTAATTTTTTATCAAAATTCTTAGATATTAAATTGAAAGCTTAAATTCCTGTATTTAAGGATGTATTATTTGAATTTCATAAAATACAAAATGTCTTTAACTTCTTCAATCACATTATAAATTGATAGAAAAATTTTGAGAGGAAAAGAACAAAACAAAATTAATTAATTGGAATTAAGCAATCAATGAATGCTTTAAATTAATATCATTTCCTTTTTTTCTTTTGCTTCAAATTTGCTAATCTTTTGGAAAATTTACTTCTATGCTTCTATAATTGTAATAAATCTGATATTTATAGACTTGTTAAAGAAATTCATTGCATCGAAATTGAAATAACTGTTGGACAGGAAATTGAAAAAACGAAAAGATGCTAGTCACTTGGCTTCGTAGTGCTGGCTCAAAAGTTTGTTTGTTTATTTGTTTTCTTTTTTTTTTTCCTCTAAATTCATGAATAAGAAAATAAATGAAAAATTTAAGTAATTAAAAATTTTTGATAAATTAAAAAGAAAATTAAAACAAAAGCTAGCAGTTCATTTTAGAGCAAATAATAATATAACTATAGAAAATGAATTATTATTAAAATAATAGAGGTGTTATAATGAAGTATTATTATTATTATTACTATTATTATTATTATTATTATTATTATTATTATTATTATTATTATTATTATTATTGTTATTATTACCATTATTATTATTAGAAGTACTAATTTAATTACATTACAGCTATTCGTTTAGTTTTGTCTATCTTTTTCAAATATACATTATTTCTTAATTTATAATCAAATTTTATTCGTTGTTTATTTGTTCAAAATATTATTGAAAATGTTTAAAGTATATTTGTTCCAAAAATGAATGATTAAATTCTATTAATTATCTGTCAACAAAAAGGTTGTCCACAACAATGACTATTATCTTCTGTAAGGTATTCAGTAATTTAATTAAAATAATATGAATTTCAAAATTAAAAAAAAAAACAATAAAATATGAAATAATTGCATGGATTAAGTATTACTAATTTATTTGATTTAAAAAATTAAGTCAAAGGAATGAAATATACGAAATTCTTATTGATTAAGCATCTTTTTAATTAGCACATTTAAAAAAATGAAAACTTTGCAGACAGTTAGACACACATTATTTCCGATATCAAATTATCTTTATCTTTTATTTTTAAATTTTTATCAATTTCAACAATGCACAAAATTAATGATCGAATATTTCGAAATTGCTTCGTTGATAAGTTCCTTTCAAAAAATTTTTTAGTCAATAAAGTTTCTATTAAAAATTTTGGCATCGTTCATTTGTTTTCATACATCCTCTAAGTATAATAAAATTAATTAATCTTAATTAATAATAAAACTAATTAGCATTTAAAAAATGTTGAAAATACGGCAATATTTGAGTATAATTTTAGAATTGAAAATTATTTATTATCAACGGAGGATAATTCAATTCTTCTTTTTTTCATATTTATAATTTGAAATTTTATTTTATTTTTATATTCATTTTATAAAGTTACGAATAGATATAATCTGTCAATTAATCAAATAACTTTTTCGTTTCTTCTTTTTCCTAAATTTAAGAAATTTATTTTATCAATTTTAATTTTTTAATTTATCATTTTACTCATTTCACTTTTTCTCCTAAAAAAATTCCAACTTACTTTCAAACCTGAAATTGTAATACTTTAAATTCTAATTGTAATACTTTTAATTTTTCTTATAAATTCTTAGCTAAGAATTTTTTACATTCACAGATGGGACCAATATTTTTGCGCATTTTAATGATAACAGCCGTTTCTATCTATGCTGTTTTTGGTGCTCTTGTATTGTCACATTTGGAAACTTATCAAATAGATCAGTTTTCAAATTTTATATCACAAAATGATGTTATTCAAACTTCCTCTCGTAAGTTCTTCCAATTCATTCCTTTATATAATGAATGTTAATAACATCAATATTACTTCTTAATTTTACCTTTACATAATTATTTTCAAACTTGCAATTGTACAAATGTACGTAAGATACGTAATAACATTAGTGTTATTAAAAAAAATTTTTTATCATTAAATTATACCTATTATTATAGTAATTATTATTTCTTCGGATTGATAATATCTCAATGATGTGATAATTTATACATACCTTTAGAATCAACCTTATTTTCTTCTGTTTCTATAAATCATTGGAATCAGTCGCAGAATAATATTCGTCAGTGTATAACTGGTGTTATCAAGGTAATCAATGATAACTTTTTTAACAAATATCAGATATCACCAAAACTTATGTAACTTGTTTTTCTTCTTATTCAAATATTTTTCTTTTCATGCTTAATTTTCTCAATTAAAAAATATATCTAAAAAATGAAAGTGACACATGTCACTACGATTTCTCGAAAATCGGATTTTATATAAATCGATTTTACAAAAAAAAACGGTTTAGAATTATGATCATTATAATTATAACTATTTCATCTAATTTATCAATTAGTAATTAGATCTCCTACAATTCCTTTTTGCTTATTTATTACTTCAATTATTTCATTCAGCTATAAAAATTGATGATCGTAACAAATGTATAGTATAAAACTTTTTACAATCATAAATTATCAATTTTTTCATTTTAAAATTTAAAATAAATTTCAGAGTTTATTAAAGAAAAGCAATTGTTCAAACAGTACATTTGATCATTCGTCGCTTCAATACTTCAAATATTGTTATTATTACAATTTATTTTCATTTTCAAATATGACTGAAAATGAACAACGAAATGGTAGTAATAATTACTTACCAACTTCTTTTCAACCAACTAATTTGCATGGTTTACTTTTATTATTCTTCAAAAGATTATAATAAATTTTGTATCATTTAATCAATTATTATACGGATAATTAGAATATAACTGTAATCCTACAAAATATTAATTTAATTTTTAATAAATTTTGAAAAAAAACCAAACAAAAAAGAAAATGACGAAAATTTCTACTAAATTGTAGTCGAAATCAAATAAAAATTTTAGTAAATTTTAAATAAATTTTTACTAAATTTTAAATAACAAAAATTAAATAAATTTTATTAAACTTTAATGAATTTTAGGAATTGAATAAATTTAATTAATTTTAAAGTTTTTATTTCAATTTCTTTTTGCGGTTTAGATATGGAAATGATGAATAATTCATCTGTTGAAGCATGGCCATTTGTTGATTCGTTATTATTTGCATTTGCACTTATTACAACAATTGGTTTATTTTTAATTTTTCTATCCTTTTAAATTTTACAGTTTGATCGATAACGGAAAATCAGAAATACAATATAATAAAAGAACAATTGAAAATATAACAGTCACATATCGTAGTTCTATGTTATTGTTTTCTAAAATTATTATTTAGTTATTTTAAATTATTCGATTCATTCATAAAAATATATCTAATTAATTTTGAATATATTTTTATTAATGAATCATTTAATTGATTCCAATAAATATTATGTAATTTTGCATTTATTAAATTTTAAGCAATAATTTACCATTTAACTTTGTAATTTAACAAATATATTTATTAAACAAAATTTTGAATATATTTTAATTTAATTATCTCTAATTTTTTTTGTCTTTCTTTATTTTCGCCATATAATTTATTGTTTTATTCGTTTAGGTTATGGTAATATTACGCCGAAAACTTTTGGCGGACAAATGTTTTGCATATTTTTTGCTGCATTTGGTGTACCATTGACATTACTTACAATTGCGGATCTTGGCAAATTTATTTCACAAGTTATATTTGCCTGTAATGATCGTATTAATGCTCAAATAAAGTTACTATTTTTAAATTCTACAAATTTCTTCTTTTGTTTTTGTTTAATATATCCTAAAAAAATTTCTTTTTAAATTCTATTGAAATTTTACAAAAATTTATTTGCAACATTTTTTCGTATTTAAAAAAAAATTGAAATTTATTCATAAAATTCTTTCGTATTTTAGGAATTCATATTTTAGAAAGGTAAATTCTTCCATATAATTATTTAATTATGCTTTTCTTCTTCTTCTTTTGTTGTTGTTGTTGTTTAGACAATTTTGGCGACGAAATTTTCTACGAAATCGTTTTAAGATGATAATATCTAATCATCGATATAATCAATTTAAAAATAATAATTCTAAAAATAAACTATTGCATGAGGAAAATGATAATAACGAAACAAATCGACTAAATAATAATGATAAACAGGTAATTTGATAAAACAAAAACTGTTCTTGTTTTTCTTTTTCATTATTTTTAATTAAATTTCTACGACTCATTTTTACAAATACAGCGCAGAAATATGAAAACAAAATAAGAATTATGAAAATTTTATAAAATTAAGATTAATGGAACAAATGAAAGCATGGAAATGAATGATAATAATGAACAATTGAATCGAACATTAGCTCTTATCGTACTCTTTATCATTTATGTTATCGCTGGCTCATTATTACTTAGCAGCTACGAACCTGAAATGCCATTTTTTACCGTAAGTAAATTAATCACAAAATTGAAATGCCATTTTTTACTGTAGTTAATTATGAACTTAAAATGCTATTTTTTACCGTAATTAACTAATCAAAATTAATGAATTTTTTTTGCTAAACAAAGAAAAAAGAAAGAAAATAATTCAGTTCATCTCTTATTCACTAAGCTCAATTATTCATTTTGTTTTTATTTACTACTCATTAAGTTCATTCATTTCTTCATGATGATAATATTAATTAGTATGAAAATCGATAGCTTATTCATTTAAGTATTTTATCAAAATTATTTTAATTTAATTAACACTATCAAATATATGATAATTTTCAGGCTATATATTTTAATTTCATAACATTAACATCAATTGGGCTTGGTGATATTGTTCCACAAAGGTTTTCATTTTAGAATTTCCAGCCACTACAACTATCTAATGATAACACAATATCATTTTTAGCGTACAAATATAAATTTATGTCAGAAAATATTAGCTATTAATTTTTTGTTTATAGGCGAACTTATATGGGTATAACTATTCTGTACATAATTGTTGGTTTGGCACTTACAACAATTGCTATTGAAATTGCCGCGGATACATTAACGAAATTGCACTATTTTAGACGAACAATTAAAAATGTCGGCGATATTCATATTTGGTTCGGTGGCAAAAGGTTTTTTTTAACTTTATTTTTAATAATTTTAATTTCATTTAATTAGCGTATTCAATTAAGTTATGAAATTTAAAATTATTGCAAACAAATAAATCTATTCCAAAATGTAAGACCGATATTTGTGCACTTCATTAATTGAAATGAATGATAATTCTGGTAAAATTCTTATCAATGTTGATTAGGAATTTTATACGATATATTTAAGATGAAATTTTCCCTTGTTTTTTTTGTTATGTAAATTTCTTATTTACTTTTACTATTAAAACTTATTTGAAATTTTTTAATTTGTTCATTTTACTGCTTATTATTAAAATTTTGACATTATTCAATCCAACATATCTTTGATCGATTTTACTTCTACGTAGTGGAAATAGTCTTACAGTTTCTACATGGTTGCAATATTTTCACTCTTTTCCATTTTTAATTATATGTATATAATTTCATTGAAAGTATGAAAAAGTAAAATTGAATTTGAAATTCATACCTATAAAGCTTACTTATAGATTAACTGTTCGCCAGCTAATTCGTAATTTGTGTGATCAGTTCAATGTGCCTGATACCGCATTATCTGGCTTCAATATCAATAATTTTGTGGAGCAGGCAATCAAAGTTGAAGCTGGCGAACGACTTCCATTAAGGGTACATTCATAATGTATTATTACTTTTCCATTCTTATATTCTTTTTTTCAAATTTACCATATTTGTAGAATGCAACATCGCGACAGGAAATTAATGCTGGTGAGAAAAATGGTAAGTTTTAATCGTTTTATTTCTTGCAAGTTAGATTATTAGCATTTAGTAATGAAGTTCGTGACCTTTCAAAATCCTTTATAGAAGTTTCCACGGTAGTCTCTAAACCATCATGGACAGAATCTGAGATTAAATCCGAACATGAACCAGAATCAGATCATGTATCAGAAATTACACCCATATCAGCGCAAGAATTGGAACCTGAGCCTACACCCGAGTATGAATCAGAACCTGAAGCAGAAGAAATTCTTTCATGCGAACCGACACCTCCACACTCTAATTCCACAGTTACTGAACCAACACCAATAATTGTGGAATTAGAGCCTATACCAGATCCTGAATCGTATCTGCTAAAGGTGTCGCAAGAAATGGAAAAAATTCCATATTTACCTGAAATTCCCGAACCAGAACCGATGCCTCTTATTGAGTCAGTGCCAGAAACATCTGAAATTTCGGAAGCAACAGAGGAATCAGATTTAGAACAAGAAACATCAGCTGAGCCGGTATGTTAATTGTTTTATTGATAGAGTATTGAATTTTGTTTTGACATTTTTAGTAATATCATTTTCTTACTAGTGATAATTAAAACTATATTTGCAGGAAAACGATATTGCCATGGAAAGTAAGTTTCAATTGAATTACTTCCTGTATTAATTATTGAACTGGAAATAAATTTTACGCCATAAATTAAGCAAAAAAAAAGAGACATGATTTATGGATTTATGAAAAAAATTTTTAAATTTCTGAAACATTTAAAAGTTCAAATGAATTATGATCAAATTTCTGAAGATCATTGAAATCACAAATTTGATTTAACAAGCTATTCTAAAAAGAATTTTCAGCCATCAAATAATTATACTATTGGTGATAAAGATTAATAGATAAATTGAAACTCTAAAATTAAATAAAGAACGATAAAAATTAAAGTTTAGAAATAAGTCATTGTAAGTTTACCTCAACGATTGAAGCATCACGTGATAGCGTCAAATCATATATTATCTCTTCATTTTTCACTTCTTATAGTTTCGATGAAAAATGGCGCTCGCATGTTGATTAAAATTAATATTATTTTAAACCGACAAAATCCAATCTTTGAAATTTCAGAATTAAAAGATGATGGAGTTGTACGTCGAAAAGGTTATAGCGAGGAAGCCTGGAAGCGTTATCAGGAATATCAGAATGTGAGTTACTCACTCAAATAGATACCTAATATTAATATATATACGATATCAAAATATAATTCAGGTTTTTAACCATATACTCTAAAATGATTTCTACAATTTTATCATATTTCCATTCATTTTTTATTTCAGGAATGGAGTAAGTTTCGGCGTCTTTCACATACTCTTTCACGCAATGGTCACCAGAAACGTATAAGAAAACCGCGGATTGCAAAGCTTCCAGATTTTTCGCATTAAAACTTCTTGTCTTTTTTCATTTACAAATTAAGAAAAGATTTGTAACAAAGTGTGACATTTAGTGACAGCACGAATGAATGAAAAATAATATAAAATTAATTGTATTATTCCTAAAAGTATAAATACAATGACAAATAATATACATATAATTATTAAATTTGTAAAATACTGTTAAAATTTGTTTTAAATATATGAATTTATGCATAAATTTAACATTTAAAAAAATTAATTTCTTACTACAATAAGTGTTAAATTCAAAAGATTGTCCATTTCATTAATAAGTAAATATTGCCAAAGGCTACAAGAAAACAAAAAAGAAGATACTAATCAGTTTTGGCCTAATTCATTTTACTTTACAACTATTTCGGAATCGGTAGTAAAAAGAAATAGCAAGTGTTGAATTAAAGATATTTGAAATATGGTGATATTGAATAATAAGTTCATTAATGGGAACGAAATTAATGAATTTGAGCCTGAAAAAAAAAGCATTATGCAGTAATTAGTTCTGAATTATAAAATGTTGCATTGAAATTTTTCTGATGACAGTTTTCATATTTTTATCTGAAATTTATCAACTTTAAGATTTACAAAATAAAAGATGGAAATAAAGAGGAAAAAAAGAAGTTATATTAATAATTTTTTTGAGAGACATTTACAGTGGAGAGATAAATAAATGTTTACATAGAAAGTTTGATGAAACAACAAATTAGCTTTCCTTGCAACAATGCGATCCGTTATGACATGGAATGCTGCCATCTGCACAATAACACTGAATCATCGATGTTTGCTGGCATTGTTTCAACATTTGCTGTTGCTGTAGTTGTTGTTGTTGTTGTGGTTGCTGTTGTTGTTGCTGTTGTTGTGGTGATAGTGGCGGCAGTAATGGTTGATAAGGATGATGTTGACGATGACCACAATTTTGTTGGCAAATTGTTTGACAAGCTGATTGACATTGTGGATTCATGATAAGATTCATGTTACATTGTTGTAAACAAGTTTGCTGACATTGTGGAATACATTGAGTGGATTCCAGTATCGATGAATGAAGATTTACTCGAATTACCTGAAAATGAAATGAGCAAAAATAGGATCAAAATTTTTAATGATAAATGATATTTAAATATAATTAAAAATTAATCAAAATTTAAATTACCGATAGTTTAATATCGGTAATTTGAACAAGTGGTTATTTTAATTGATTACTAATTTCAATTTTAGTACAAAATTCATTTACCATTGGAAAAACCAATTTACTATTCCTATCATTCTTTTTTTTTCAATGCAAAGTTCGACATTCATATAGCTCATTTCGGTGAACATCAATTTTCCGGATAAAAGCTAACTTATGAATTTACTTTCTTTAAATTTCTTTTATTTGAAAAGGAAAAAAAGAAGTATGAACCTGCGGTTTATATGTTTGCTTGGGTTGTTGAACAACGGGTATCGGCTGTTGTTGTTGTTGGTGGTGGTGGTGGTTGTGATAATGATGACAAAGCTGTTGACAATTTTGAGTACATGGATTTGAGCAATGCCTAGTTTGCTGTTCACAAGATTGCTTACAACTATCAAAACAATTTGCAAAACAATATTGCGCTTGGATAGAGTATGGAAGAGAAGATGGATATGAATATGAATTTGGATAAATGAACTGGTTGAGTTGTGGATTTATCGATGAAATAAGTTGTGATTCCGACGAAATAATGCAAATATCGGAACATTGCTGCTTGCATTGTGATTGACATTGTTGAATGCTATGACTTATTTGCTGATTGCAAAATTGTTGGCAATTTTGTTGACAATGAGGCATACATTGTTGCTGTTGCTGTGCGATGGAAAATAATGATTGCGATTGCATGCTAGGCGGGCAGATTTGCTGACACTTTTGCATGCATACACATTGCAATTGATCACCATCCAAAAAAGGCTGTTGAGTACCACAAACTTGCTTACAACCAATTAAACAAATGAGACATTGTTCTGTAATTAGTAGTAATTGTTGATAGAAATAAGGATAGGAATGCTGTAACGAGTATAGATTTGGATTCCAATACGGCAAATTGATAGGTTGCTGTTGCTGCTGCTGTTGTTGCTGTTGCAAGTTGCATGATTGTATGCATGCTTCAAGACATGCATTCTCACAATACATTTGTGACATGTACGGATTGCATTGCGCTTTGCAAGACTGTTGGCAACCTGTTCGACATTGTTGCCCAATCATTTCGTGCAAATTGCATTCGCAATAATTTGATTGCTGTAATTGCTGTTGCACTTGTGGACATGAACATGACATGGAAAATGTGGATGATTTCGGGATACAAACACATAATTCACCAATCCATGGTTGCAATTGTTCCAATTGACTGCATCTGCATGATTGACGTTGCATACGTGTACTATATTCAGCATATACCTTCAATTTATTTCGTCTAATTACGAAATAAAATTCGAATTATTAAAAAATCAAATTTGGCAAAATTTATCTCATCTTTACCTTACTAATATAAATTCAGTTATAAGCTTACATTATTTATCCCAATTATTGTAATGAAAGCAATAAGCAATTTAAACTGTAAGACATCCATCAAGGCGATATTAATAGCAGTAAAGAGATGAAGAAATAGTTGAAATGAAATAAGTTGGCTAAAATTTGAATTGTTGACTGGTGCTATCGCAGTTAAGGTTGAATTTCCATTGCTCATAATGAGCTAAGCCACAAATGCAAACTCTTAACCGGTCTTATATTGAATTTCTGTTTGCCAAATTATATAAACTGCTATTAAGATCCAAGTGGCGTTCTTCAACTTGCTAATACTTTCATTTCAGTACCATCAATACTATTATCTTCACAGTGTTCTATTTACTATTTCATCTTTTTTCTCAACTTCTCCTAAAATGTATTTGAATATAATCAACTTTTCACACATATACTAATTACTCTTTCTTCTAAATTTCATAACCATTCAACAATGCAAATTTTTAATTGCAATAATTGAACTCAGAAAATTCAAATGCAAATTTCTTGTAAACAAACAACAAAACTTTTGTTTTCATTTGAAATTTTTCCTTTTTTTGTTGATGTGATTTAGGTGAAATATTAGTATTATTATATAATTTATATAATATACAGGTAAAGGTAACATTGGCAAAATTACAGGTAACATAATTTATAGGTAACAGGTAATTTACAGGTAATATTGATGAAAACAAAGAATATAAATAATTATTTGAAGAAATTTTCCAAATTTAATGAAAGAATAGTTAAAGAAATAGCTGCATATTTGTTAAAAGAAGAAAATATTTCACACCTATTTCATTTCTAATTTATTTTATAATACTTCAAAAATAAAAAGAAAAGGAAACTTCCAATTTTCATGCATTCATGTTCAATTTTTTTTTCAATAAATTAATAAGCTGTAACTGTAACTATCTATCTCCATGATTTCAAAGTTTAAATCTTTGTATTTTCCTTATGAAAGTTACTTATAGCAAAGGTAAGGAAAAAACAAGGTAATAAATTATTACCTTACAAAATGATAGTATTAAATAAACGAAAATAAACTTCAATAGCGCAATTCGTCAATTTGAAATTAAAATCATTTCAACTTTTTATGCACCTATCTTCATGATTTCAGGAAAATTACTGAAATAAAAGAAAGCAAATTTAGTAAAACATTAAATAGTTATCGTAACCAAATCGAAAAAAGTTTCATTAAACATAATAGAGAAGGATAATTATTTTTTTATCTTATTTCAAAAATTTAGCAAAAAAGAATTGTTTATCAATTCGACAAATTACGACAATTATATTTAATTTATTCAACTATTTAATTTTTGATGATAATTACTTAATATGATAATATTGATTTGTTGAAAACTTATTTCTATGTTTATTTCGAATCAAAAAAAAAGGAAATGTAATTGATAAAATTGTAAAGATAATATTGCTAACAAAGTACACATTTAATTTTATGGCAAAAATTTTGCCGTATAATAAAATTTTGCACTAATGCAATATTACAAATAAAGTAGTGAAAGTAATTTATGATTGCTTGTTTGATATTTCTTTGTTTCTCCAAATAGTTTCGAAATATTAAATGACTTTATCAGTGTACCTTTTTTCAGTTAGAGCGAATTCTGATTGCAAGACTATTAGAGAATATGGAGCAAACTTTCTAAATTTTAAAATATTCAAAAAAACTTATCAATACTAAAGATGAAAAACAATTAACTAATTGTTTAAAAACAATAACTAAAATTGTTAAAAATTGTTAATTTGTTAAAAACAATAACTAAACAATTATCCTTTTATAGCACAACTAGCATGAAATTTCCTTCATTAATTACTGAAAAATTAAAATTTTATTTCAACTTTGCGATTGTTTGCAAAACATGCTTTAAATCGTTTTTGCCAAACTGCAGTATTGCAAAAAACGAATTTCATATCGATAGTTATTGCGGTTTACAAATTCGATAAATTCGAAACTTTTGAATTTGTGAATTATAAAATCTTGAATTTATGAGCTGTAAATTAAATGCAATTTTATCACGTAAATGACAGCGGAAAAATTCAAAATACAGAGGAAAGAAATGTTGACATATTTTACAAGGTAAGATTACGTTCTCAGTAATTTGTTGCTTTAAAGTTTTTTCCAATTTTCAATATCCACAAAAAAATTTTTGCAAATCCGAGAAGATATATTTTTTGTTCTTCCAAAATCTCTAACTCACCTTTCAATTTTCAATTTCAAAATAAAAGAATTGATGCATTGATACGCATTCATATCATATTACAACAAAGTACAATAGAATATATACATTTACAGAAGAAAATAATTATAAAATGATCCTTGAAACATATCCCTGATAAGGCGTTATTTCCTTCTAATCTCATATACCTGTAATATCAATATATGTATATCCTTCCTGATGCGGTCGATATGTTTTATTGTATTTTAGTAAGCGGATTTAAACTAACAGAATAGTTAAGCATTGTTATTTATCTTCAAGTAATAATGTGGCAACAAACAAAATCCGATTGTATACATTTCTTTTCGTGTATAATTTCAAATACTGCAATGATGGAAGCTACTTTAAACAGTGAATACTAAAATGAATTATTTTACATATTTACAGCCACAAATATTTTTTTCCTTCAAATATTGATGTAAAATATGTGAGAAGAGAAAAGGCTGAGTAAGCGTTCGAAAATGTATAAAATAGATATTTCAAGAGAAATAAAAATCATTCACATATTTAAAATCACATATTTGTGAGGAAAAAAAATGTTTGAAAATTACTACTAATTGTTAAGTTCAAGTGAATTTGTTATTTTATTTTTCTTTTAATACTTTTTAATATCTCATTACTATTACAAAGCAGTGAGTTGGGAACGATTTTAAAATTGCAATCCAATAGATTTCATCTTACATATATTTGCTGCTGAACAATCTGTAGGAGTTAAAAATTGACCTTCGGATGATTTAGTTGCGACAAAAATTTATTGGTTTTAAGACTATTAGAATTATTGAAATTCAGCTATCATTTGATCTTTAATACGTTGAGCAATCCAAATCGACAGATGATCTGGAGTGTTGTTGATTTCTCGCTTTTTTTTTTGCGATATCTCTTTTTTGAAATATTTTGTGACACTTGGTATTCGGATCGTTGGTACCTGAAAACTTTCAGGGTAATTTGAAACATTAGCCATATGCACAGACAGGCCCGGAGAATAAAGCATAAATTTCATGACCATTAAAAGTTTTTAATTTTTTCGAGAAGTTCACTGAAATCAATAAATTAGAACAAAAAATGTAACATTAGCTGCATGGAAGGCCAGTAGGTAGTTTTTATTTATTAATTTTTCGATACTTCCGACAAAACTAAACTGTAACTTAAGAAACCGAAAGCCGAATTTCCTATTTTTAGAAACTGAATAGAATTGCTGTGGCGATATTTAACGCTTCAATCAAACCATCTTAAAACAATGGAAAAGTTCCGGAATGGACAAAACAAAGAACGACAAAACCTGGCATTAACATTGCAGTCAGGTAGTGAGGGCAATAAAAAAGGAGGAAGAGAATGAAGTAATTTAGGAGGCTTCTAGAGATCGCTGAAAATCGGAAAATAATATGTATGGAAGGATGTTAAATATCTCATAACGCTATGAGGGAAAAAAGTATGTAAAGAATATAATGAGTGGCAGAGATTGATGAAATTCTCGAGAAAGTCTGTTTGTAAATCTCGTTGATTCTATGGTGTGTGCGTGCGGTTAATGGCTGGGTTGCGAATATTTTTGATTAATTCAATGAGACGGTGCGTAGACGAAATAGATAATATACGGTAGTGGCTGTGGGTCTTCCGCGGATATGCAGTACGGTAAAAAGCAACGGATTGATATATATATCTGAAATCCTATAGTTGGGTATTACAGTCTTGGAATTTCGAGAAATCCCGGAAAATACTGCAACGTTTTAGCTGAAAATTTCCACTCTTACGTGTGAAACAGGGTAGATCAAAATAGGAAAATTTGACTTTTGTTATTCATGAGATAGACTATCCTGTGGCATCCAAAAAACGTAACAGTGTCATCGTCAGAATATGAATTACAGTGAATGGTCAGTCTCTACAGTAGGAAATTAATGGGTTAAGTAACAGAAATTATTTTCAAATAAAGGTTTTGATGAACACTTTTTATGCAGATTAAGGAGGATTTAGGATGTATACATGATGCTGTTTTTATACCCCAATGAAAATGATGTTTAAATATTTTCTTCGAGCTTATTATAAACTTCTCCAAGATTACTAACACTTTAGTCAATGTTTGTATCGCATCTTTGACATAAATGAAATTCCAAAACGTCTTGAAAATAAAGAAACTTTATTGTGCAAATAGAAGTTACAATCAAGGCAACATAGCATTACATGATGTCGGAAAATTGTGCTTTCCATTAGTTTTCTTTTTTTAAATATTCTTTTTTCGTTTTATGCTTTTTGATTCTCTGCACTTGTTTCTCTCTCAAAAATGCATTTCGTAAAACTAGAGATGCAAAATTTGTTGAGGGTGTTGCTATGATAACTCGATTACGGTCGTGGGTGACGTGGTCATGGACTTATCTGTGGGCATTATGGTTCTTGTTGGTCATCGCGTTAGTGTACATCCTACGTGGTCCTCTTCATATCACCGAATCACTTGAAAGCGGTACTTAACTTTTTTAATAGTATATCATTCCTTCTGTGACTGATTTTCTTAATTCTCTATTCCATCCCATATTTTTGCAGCTTCCAGCTATTTCAATAACTTAACACCCAAATTTTACGTTGCATTGACGGGAACATCGAGCTTGGTGTCTGGTATTATATTGATCTTCGAATGGTGGTATTTCAAAA